AGGATACCGCACTACTGTTCGTACTTCAATAGGTACGACTCCTTATTTGTTGGTATACGGAACTGAAGCAGTAATACCAGCAGAAGTCGAAATTCCATCCCTTCGAAATGTCGCTGAGGCCGGGATTGACGATGATGAATGGGTCAAAGCCCGACTAGAGCAGTTGAGTTTAATTGATGAAAAAAGATTGGCAGCAGTATGTCATGGCCAGTTATATCAGAAGAGAATGGCAAGAGCATACAATAAGAAGGTGCGCCCCAGGAAATTTGAAGTAGGGCAACAAGTATTGAAACGGATCCTCCCACATCAGATTGAGGCAAAAGGCAAGTTCGCCCCGAATTGGCAAGGGCCGTATATTGTGACCAGAGTATTATCCAACGGCGCTTTACGTCTGACAGATGTCGAAGGGAGATGCGTCGACATGGCTATCAATTCTGATGCAGTCAAAAGATATTATGTGTAATTTCTTTTGTTATTTATTTGTTTGTTTGTACTTAGTGCTTATCGGATAATGAAATGACGGAGGCAATTCTTTCTTCTATCCAAACACTTTTAACCTTTGTTTTACCCCTTTGAGCCTTACTTATCTTTTTATACCTCTCTCTTGGAATCATTAATGAAAAATAAAAATAAATAAATAAATAAATAAATAAATAAAAAAAATTGAAGGTCGCAAGAAAACAAAGGAGTCAGTGAACTACGTTCGACCTGATTCCTCAAAGAGGATACGTAGGCGCCTCACGACTCGGCCATAAGGTAAAAAAAAAAAAGAGGAAAAAAAAATCAAAAGAAAAAATCCCCAAGCAAGAAAACTGAGGCAGAAATTATGTTTTTAAATTTTGAAAAAAAAGATTTTGATTCCAAGAGTTGTAATACTTTACCCATCAAAGTTATTTTGAATTTTATATCCTTTTCTTCTAAAACCTATATTGATATCCAAAAAAGACCTCCCGATCAGTATCCGAGAGGTGTTAAGATAGGCAAATGAAAACCAAGAATAAAACGTCGGTCCCTGACTGAATGAGGATCATGAATTGAAAGAATTGATAGCCATAAGAATTCCCGGCAGAGAAAAATCTTATCGGCAACACTCCAATCCCCAGCTGAGAAAATAAGATGAGAGAGTCTTATCGGCGAAAACCTTCACAGGCGCCATAAGGCGACGTAAGCTGAGAAATACAAAATGAGAGAGTCTTATCGGTGAAAACCTTCACAGGCACCATAAGGCGACGGGAGTTGTGAGAAATGAGAGAGCCTTGTTAGTGAAAACCCCGCGAAGGGCACTATGAGGCGACAAGATAGATTGGCAGAAAGGTTCCGCATTTTGCGAAGAATTAGGCACCTATTTATCCCCAGCAAGTGAAGACATCAGAAAGATTGATCGACACAAATAGACTGGGTTGATTAATCCGGAATGCACAAGATGATCGTTGGAATCGGTTACAACACCCAGATAAGTTCATTTCTTTTCTTTTCCCCATCATTTGTCCAGAAAGATTTTCTCTTTTTCTATCTTTTCATTTCTTTGTTTAAAAGAATTTTTCCAGAAATTTATGTTTTAAGGAAGGTCTTTCAGAGCTTACTACCAATTGCCAAAATGGTACAACATAAAATGTGAAAAGGGCAGTCCAGACACAAGGCAATAAGACAAAAGACGTTGGTTGCCAGGCCGAATAATATTGTCCTAAAATGGCAAGGAAAGTACGAGGAAGAACCGAAAAAAAAACATGTTGAGGAAATTGTGGGCCAAGTTCCAAGACGATCCCCAGCAGAGTCGCCAGAGCTGTCACACCACCTTTTTCCGCCCCCGCGAGGGGCGTAGGAGTTTTTTCCAATTAAAGGACAATCAAAACGAGATTTGTTTATTTATTTTAGAGTCGCCACTTGGGAGATTTAGGGTGTCCTAAGTCACCAATTTTAATCCCGAATCGAGGAAANCATATCATAATTCTTCATCACCTCTTTCAATGTAGCCTTATCCTTATATACTTGTCCAGCCATAACCTCCTTTTGATTAGTTTTTGAAATTATCAAATCCTTGTGGAGTTCGAACACTCCAATCGCTTCTCCTGAATTGGCAAGTTCTATAGCTAGTGTATCATCTGTATCGGAATCGTACATTTGAACTGCTTCGTCTATCTGCACAATGTCGCCTTGATTTAAACCATCTCCGGAGATAAGCTCTTTTTCCATAGTTGTAATGCACAGAGGATACATCCCAAATTCTCTGTTCTCTTTTTTCAATTTTACATACACTCTGTAACCCATATCATTGTGTATTTCCATTGGCGTGCGATTGCCTTCAACATTGTATTGTATTTTAATGGTATTTGTGCTCAAATCTATACCCAGTTGATTAGAAATTGAACCAACTAGATCATTAAAGGAAGCATACTCCTTAATCAGTATTCCCTCAATGGAAAAGTCGATATAATTGCCCTCATCGTTCCACTTTCCAGAATGACGCAACAAAACTGTCAAGCTTGCCATATATATAGAAGAGTTATACCTTCTTCTGTATATAATTTGTCGCAATCGATAAGGAGGAGAAGAAAATCGCACAATATAGAAGCAAGCTACTCTGTTTCTTCGCTTCTTTCACGTTTCTGTATTTCTGACTTTGAGAAGAATACAGATTGATGGGATAACTTTTAAGTTTGTTGAGTAAAATTAGGGAAATCAGAATTGATTTGATTTCCTTCCGTTTTTAACATCTTCGTCGACCCAGATATTGCGCAGATACGTTACGTATTTAGCGCTACATACGTTTGAATACAAGTAAATACATATCAGGATTAGCTGGATTTCCTTTTTGTACGCCGCTAATTTTTGTTGTATTATTAAATACACTACCGTAAATACATTAAATACATTATATAATTGCATAAAAGATATCTATAGGACGTAATATAGCAAAGGGTTTCTATTAATGGCTAATTAGGACTAAAAGATGGTGCTTTGTGAAAAATTCCCTAACTTAAATCTGGTAGAATATACTTGTAGTAATAACTGCGTAACAATCATTTTTAAAGAAAATTATTGTTATGTTTTTAGTCTTCTTGAATAAAATCCGGCCGTAGGGACACGCCTGTACAACTGCAACGCAACTGTCAATATCCTAAAAGATGCCTCTTTGTACATGCTGAAATGGGCATCATCGGTAATTTCAGACACGAGCAAAATCCAGTTCTGGATAAATGCTAGCAGCTGTAGATGTGTCAATTAGCAGGCTTCGGTGAAGCAACCAGGTGATCAAAAAGATACCTGTTAGGCTATTACCACTTCTCCCTATTCACTAAGATGCCATGCATTATAGCATCACCAAATAGTAGAGAAGACAATCATGCAAAAGATAGAGGGAACGACTAGAAGGAGAAGATAGTGATGCAAACTCCCTTATTAGACGTACAGCACTATATCTCGTGTTAGCTTCCAGCATTGCTTGAACTTTGAAGTGTTTTTCGCATTTGAGACACAATGCCGCCAGAACATTTTGCCACCTACAACATCTTAGGAATCCGCGGACCACTCTCAGCTTAACAAAAGAAGTCAGAAAAGCACTATTTACAACCCGTGAAGCATCAAGGTGTAATGGATGCATGCCTCCTAAAAATATCCAAGTTGTGTCAAATTATTATTTTTTCTATTGATTTTCTTCCCGCATTGCTCTTAAAATAGGATTATCATCCTCCAGCATGTCATCTTCATCGAGTTCATCCAATCCATCTAGAAATGACTGGTTCACACTTTTACGAGATTGTCTCCTGTATTTCTTGGGCTCCAGCCGTGGTTCTGCTTGCACAACTCCCTTGTCTCCTACTTTGCACCTGTAAGAATGTGATAAGTAAATGTTTTTCTGATGGGTTTGAAATGGTTTGCCATCAATGCCACAGATGAATATCATTCACTATGCTTACCAGTTTAGGCAAATGGACTAACAATAAGACCTAAAATAAAATAAAATAATAAAAAATAGGAAGAGGAGCACAAGAAATCACAAAATAGCAGGCTAGTTAACTGAACTGCAATACTTAGTTTTACAGGTACTCCTAAGGAAAATAGGTTTCCTTCCACGAATAAAGAGATGCAAATCAATGACAAGTTTAATCTACCAAGCACAACACTTTACTGGGAAAAATGGCCTTTCAATATTTTACCATCTTTGATTAGGGGAGAACTGTAACTCTTATCATTGGATGATATGGTGTTATGATTAAAGAATATGGATTCTCATTTCTAGAGAATAATAATCCTAAAAAGGTGCTAATCAGCACTTCATTCGAGAAGCATCATGAGCAAGTATTAGAACTGCAAAGGATGACGCAGGCAAATACAAATTTAGTCTTAGTGAGAGTTCCCTTCAATGGAAAAACTTTACACAGAGCAAAAACGCCAAGGACAAATTTGGCAACCAATCATAAGAATACTTGGTCACAGAAAGAGTATTGAAATATTATAGTAACATTTTAATTACAGAAACAGAAGAAACCAGATTACCATATATCTCTAATACTTGACCAATTCATAGTAGCTCTGACTTCTTACTTTGTGAAGAAAATTTCTAAGATGTACCTCCAGTTGTGTATGAAATGAATTGAATAAATATTGCATAGAAGTTCAGAGCTTTTCAGAACTTACCTAACATCACCCTCTCGTTTAGTTCCAATAGTCCTCAACTGAAACTCCTCCCTGATTTTAATTTCGTCAAGCAATTGAAGATAGTAGGGGTATCTCTCCCAATCACCTTTTACAAGGCACCCCGGTTCACCAAGATGCAAGCAATTGCTGAATGCACACTTTGCAGGTTCGCCATCTTTAAGCATTTTGCGAATCTGAACTTAAAGTAATCAGAGTGGAAATTACTAATGAAATTCGCATATATAGTTTGGTTCACATATTGTGCAACAAATACACAAAACTTAGAGAACGAAGCAGCGCCATCAGGACAAACCTCTGGAAAATGATGTGCAAGAGAATTTTTTGTCACTTTA